GGAGAGAAGGAAGAAAGGTCTAGAGGAAAAAATGAAAACACAGAAAGACGTTAAGAAAACGGAACCTCCAAAAATGTAAGCTACATTCTGGGACGCCCCTAAACCGGTGGTATGTACCTAGACATTGAAAGGCAACATATTAAAACTACAAAACTAAAGATGCGTCCGGGAAAAGCAGCCAAGAAAGTGTCCATGCAAAGACTCTACGGCTACTGAAACAGGAGAGGGTAGGCACATATAAATAGGAGAAAGACGAATCCAGCGGTAGAATGCAGCAGCAGATTCTCGTGAGCGGCTTCGTCAGGAAGCGGGTAATGGCCCTAGGGCGCACTGGTATCTAAGAAGAAGGAAAGAAATAACGAAAAGAACGGGAAGAGAAGGAAGAAAGGTCTAGAGGAAAAAATGCAAACGCAGAAAGGCGTTAAGAATCCGGAACCTCCAAAAAGTAAGCTACATTTTGGGACGCCCCTAAACCGGTGGCATGTACCTAACATTGAAAGGCAACATATGAAAACTACAAAGCTAAAGATGTGTCCTGGGAAAAGCAGCCAAGAAAGTGTCCATGCAAAGACTCTACGGTCAAGTGGCAACTGAGAGAAAGAAACCAGCAGTAGAATGTAGCAGCAGATTCTCATGAGCGGCTTCGTCAGGAAGCGGGCATTGGCCCTAGGGCCCACTGGTATCCAAGAAGAAGGAAAGAAATACAGAAAAGAACGGGAAGAGAAGGAAGAAAGGTCTAGAGGAAAAAATGAAAACACAGAAAGGCGTTAAGAAAACGGAACCTCCAAAGATGTAAGCTACATTTTTGGAGGGTCTAAACCCGTGGTATGTACCTAGACATTGAAAGGCAACATGAAAACTACAAAACTAAAGATGCATCCGGGAACAGCAGCCAAGAAATATCTACAAATATCTGCAAATATCTACAGAACTAAAGATGCATATGGGAAAAAAACCATCAATATGGAAATTGAAAGCCACCTGGAAAGGCTACCAAAAGGTGAAAAGGCTTTGGAATGGCTCAAAGGCTTGAAACTAGGTTGGGGTGTGGCGGTGGGAAATGGCCAGGGTGGCCATAAGAAACGTGTAACGCTTTTGGTTTTGTTTTGATTTTGATATAGTTTTGATATGATTTTGGTATGGTTTTCCTTTTCCGAAGGATGGAGGCAGGTTCCCCAAAGCCACCTGGAAAGGCTACCAAAAGGTCCAAAAGCTCTGGGGTCGCCCAAAGGCTTGAGAAAAAAACAGCAAATCATACCAAAACAATAACGAAACCATAAAAACATACTTTACATACATGCTTCTGTCATTGGCTTGGAAGTCTTAAAAATAGCAGGAAGAAAAGGAAGAAGGTCTAGAGGAAAAAGGTAATCACAGAAAGGCGTCAAGAAAACGGAACCTCCAAAAATGTAACTTACATTTTTAAGGTGCCCCTAAGGAAATGTAACTTACATTTTTTAAGCCCAAACTTGCAAAAAATGTAGCTTACATTTAGACAGGTCCCCCCCACTTAGGGGTGGGGATTTACGCCTGACATGATACTCACCACCATGGGCACACTGGACCAAGCCAGCTACCGTTCAGCAGAGCTGTACCTCGACGCGCCCAAACACCGCCGTGTTGAAGCCCCAACGCGGGCGCGGTCCCGCCAAGCAAGCTCAGCCCTTGCCATTGCCGCAGGTGGCGTCGTTGACGCTGGGTGAACAGCCTCTCTGCGCAGAGGGACCAATTCACCCCGTCAGGTCCACCGTTTTAATGTCTTGGTGACTGTTGCGGGAAATCGAAGCCTCCAACGCCCGAGTGGTGCGCATCTCGATCGACCAAAGTACAAAACTGGCGCGTTGGCGCCTCCCCGAAGGCGATTGGAAATTGGAAAGGCCATTGGGCGCGGACGGCGTAGAGCCACCCACTGCCCCTTCCACACGTTCCTCCCCCACAAGGGGGCACGGCTCTTCTCGTGACACCCCCCAGCGTCACACCGGGCTAATACATTTGAGGCCGTCGCCAAACTCCTCGGGTTGGCAACGCATAGCCCTTAGGGCCTGCGTCTCTTCACTGGGCACACCGCCCGGGCCACCGGGGCCGTGCGCCTTCCTTGCACACCCAAGTGTCCGAGTGCTTCAAGCAGTACGTTCGTGAAGCACCACAGGAAGCTACCCTCAACACCTCATGTTCAGACCTCACGCATGCCAACACTGGCCTGGCTTCCCAGCCTGTGGAGTGCTTCTTAAACTGCGAAACCGCAAGCCAAGTGGCGCCCGCCCACTGGCGACAATTCCGCCTACTGGCGGCAATTCCGCGGTAAGGTGCACATAGTCGGTCGGGTAGGGGACGACATTCCCCATTACCTTTGGCGCACTAAATGCCACTGGCCATTCGCCCAGCGCCAGGCAGATCACGACATTGTGGATTCGCTCCCTTCGCGACCGCAATGTGCAAGCAAGACCCCCGACAAGTCCAGTTCAGCAACTTCGTCGGATTCCTCGCAGCCTTGAGCGCGAGTCGCTCGCGTGTTGGACCTAGTTGGCGCGAGGCTCAGGTGGGCAGGGGTTGGACCTTCCTGAGTTTGGTAGCTGAAAGCTCCTTAGCAGGGGACCCATTCTGCCAACTGATTTACAAAAGGTCCGCTTTCGAGGTGTTTTTGGCTTGA